ATGGCTGGGAGATAAACTATAAAGTTTAACAACTGCAGGGCTGTGGTTTGTGTGTCGCTGGAGGATAGGATTGTGGCAGGTGGCAGGAACTGATGCTGAACATATCTCTCTACCCCGCTGACCCAGTTGAGATAAGTCGATTCATTCCAGGAGATGCATACTTTCTTGATTTGGGGTTCATAATTCTGCATAATCATATGATTGAGGCTTCTGGTATATATCACTTCAAAATAATTCTTGAACATGTTTAGAGCAGCTGATGTCAAAATCCTGGTTGTAATATTTTATTGAACTGTAAAGTTTTGCAGATGTTACTCTTGGGGGGAACTGGATAAAGGGTATGTGGGATCTTTATATTTTTTAAAATGCAAAGATGTTTTTTAAAAACTGCATGTGAATCTACAATTATCTCAAAAGAAAAAGGTTAATTAAATAAATAATATATTCAAACCAACCAACTTTTAATTAACAAAATCTGACCATTTTAGTTTTCCCTTAGGTGATTCTTTTTCTCCTTAGGTAAAAGGTTATTGATTAGATACCTTTTATCTCCCCTATGACATTTTTCTCTGATTAGAAGAGTCCAGATTCTATATACACATATAACAAAGCTCTTAAATGAATGTTTTATAGCTATTGAGGAGGTTTTGCTAACATGACTTAAAATGTTATGTGCCTCTCTTTTTAAAATCTAATTTCTTTTTTTTTTTAATTTTTGTTCAGTTTATTTAAATGGAAGAAAAAAAAAATCAGTTCACCCATTTCTCCCACGCCACCCCTCCCCAGCCCCTGCCTCTGGCAACCACCAGCCTGTTCTCTTTTTTTATAAGCTTGAGTTTTGTTTGTTTTAGATTCCATATGTAAGAGAGATCATACAGTATTTGTCTTTCTATCTGACTTATTTCACTGAGCATAATGCCCTTGAGATTGATCCATGTTGTTGCAAAATGGGAAGATTTTTTTAGTGGCTGAATAGTATTCCATTTTGTGTATATGTGTGTGTGTACAACAGTTTTTTGTTGTTTTTTTTTTTTTTATCCATTCATCCATCAGTGGACACTTAGATTGTTTCCATATCTTGGCTATTGTAAATAATGCTGAACATGGGGGCACATACATCTTTTGGAATTAATATATTCATTTTCCTTGGATAAATACCCAGATGTGGAATTCTGGATCATATGGTAGTTCTATCTTTAATTTTTTGAGGAACCACCATACTGTTTTCCACAGTGGTTGCAACAATTTATGTTCCACTAATAATGCACAGGAGTTCCCTTTTCTCCACATCCTCACCAAAACGTACTTCTTGTCTTTTTGATAATAGCCATTCTAATAGGTGTGAGATGATACCTCATTGTGGTTTTGTTTGCATTTCTCTGATGATTAGTGATGTTGAGCATCTTTTCGTGCATCTTTTGGCCATATATATGTCTTCTTGGAAGAACGTCTATTCATGTCTTCTGCCCACTTTTTATTCGGATTTTTGGGTTTTGTTTTTTGTTTGTTTGTTTTTTAGTTATATGAGTTCTTTATATATTTGGATATTAACCCCTTATTGGATATATGATTTGCAAATATTTTCCCCTATTCAGTAGGTTGATTTTCATTTTGTTGATGGTTCCCATTGCTGTGCAGAAGCTTTTTAGATTGATGTAGTCCCACTTTATTTTTGCTTTTGTCGCTTTTACATTTGGTGTCAGATCCAAAAAGATCATTGCCAAGACCTGTGTTAAGGGGCTAATTGTTGTTTTCTTCTAAGAGTTTTATGGCTTTAGGTCTTATGTGCAAGTCTTTAAACCATTTTGAGTTAATTTTGTGTATACTGTAAGATAGGAATCCAGATTTATTCTTTTTTCGTATAGCTGTCCAGTTTTCCCAGCACCATTTATTGAAGAGACTGTTCTATAGTTTTGGCTCCTTTGTCATAAATCAGTTGACCGTAAATGTGTTGGTTTATTTCTGGGCTGTCTGTTCTGTTTCATTAATCTATATGTCTGTTTTTATGCCAAAATCATACTGTTTTAATTACTGTACCTTCGTAGTATAGTTCGAAATCAGGAAGTGTGATGCCTCCAGCTTTGTTCTTTCTCAAGATTGCTTTGGCTACTTGCAGTCTTCTCTGGTTCCATACAAATTTTAGGGACATCTATTTCTGTGAAAAATGCCATTGGGATTTTGATGGGATTGCATTGAACCTATATATTGCTTTGAGAGGTATGGACATTTTAGCAATATGAATTCTTCCAATGCATGAGCATGAAATATCTTTCCATATATTTGTGTCTTTAATTTCTTTCATTAATGTCTTGTAGTTTTCAACATACAGGTCTTTCACTTCCTTGGTTAAATTTGTCTCTAGGTATTTTATTCTTTACTGCAATTGTAAATGAGATTGTTTCTTGTTTTTTGTTTTTTTTCCTAAGATTTTCTTTATTTGACACACAGAGAGAGATAGCTAGAGAGGGAACACAAGCAGGGGGAGTGGGAGAGGAAGAAGCAGGCTCTCAGCTGAGCAAGGAGCCCAATGCGGGGCTCGATCCCAGGACCCTGGGATCATGACCTGAGCCAAAGGCAGATGCTTAATGACTGAGCCACCCAGGCGCCCCGAGATTGTTTTCTTAATTTCTCTTTCAGATAGTTCATTATTAGTGTAAAGAAACATAACAGGTTTTTGTATTTTAAAGGACGAGTTAAAAAGCTTGGCCAAGTTGTAGTGCGTATCTCAACAGTTTCTTAAAGACTGTATATCACTAAGGATATGTTCGTGGCTCAGGGTTTTGCTTAGTATGTTGGATAATAAGTAAATTGCTAATATATTAAATGATAAGTAAATTGTTATTCAGGTATGAGTTAAGTGTGTTCTGTTGATGTGTATCATCTACCAACCATGTGATAAGCATTAGGTCCATAAACATTGAAATAATCTCAACCTACAGGTATTAATGATTTAGTTTTATTTTATTTTATTTTTAAAAAATACTTATTTCAGAGAGAGAAAGAGAGAGAATGAGTGGGGGAGGGGCAGAGGAAGAGGGACAAGCAGACTCCCCACTGAGCAGGGAGCCTGATGCAGAGCTCCATCTCAGGACCCCAAGATCATGACCTGAGCCAGAGTCAGATGCTTAACTGACAGCCACCTAGGCGCCCCAGTGATTTAGTTTTATAAGCTATGAGCAAATGGTTTCATTAAAAACCACATAGAATATGTTTTGATCATCATATTATATCATTTTTAGTCTTTTGATGGAGTACTTGTTTATTTTCAGCTTTCAAATTTAGCCAGGTAATTATCACTACTGAAGGGTAATCTGTGGTTAGTAGTGTGGTCGGGGGACTAGAAAGATTGTGCTGCCCACTGTCCATGACCTTGGAAAGTTACTGAGCCTCCGCTAAAACAGATGGCAAGAACTTGTGAGTGGCTAAAAGTCACAGTTGTTATGAGGATTCAATGGTGTGATGCACACATAGCTCTTAGAACAGTAGCACATTGTAAGCACTCGTGTACTAGCTGGAATAATCATGATGTTTTAAAACAAATACAGGACATAAATATATTTCCAACTAAAACTATAGGGACCAAATCAAAGATAAAAGATCAAGTCTGGCACTCTAACCGAGGTGAGTCATTATAGTTTTTGACAAACTGTTTTATTGCACAGTGAAGCATGCTATAAAATGGGTCAGCAAATTTTTTCCATAATAGGAACAGACAGTAAATATTTTAGTCTTTGTGGGCCATACCATCTTTGTTGCAACTATTTGATTCTGTTGGAGCATGAGAGCAGCCATATACAATATGTTAACAAATGGGTATATCTCTGTTTCAATAGAATTTTATTTATGGACACTGAAACTTGAATTTCATATTATTTTCATGTGTCATAATACAATACCCTTTTTTTGAACTGATTTTCAATTGCCTAAAAAAGTAAAAACTATTCTTATTAGCTCACAGACCATATAAAAATAGGCAGTAGGCTGGATTTGGCCCATAGGCCATAGTTTGCTAACCCTTGACATAAATCAAAATCAAAATGGAAATCTGTTATATTAATAGTTTCAACATTTATTGCATACCTGTATGCTTTAGATACTGCATTTACTCTATGAGGTAGTGCTCTTGTTGCCTCTTTCTCTTCTTCTCCCTCTCTCTTTCTGTTTTTCTTTTAACAGGTAAGTAACCTAAGTCCAAGAGAGGTTAAGTAATTTGCCAAAATTCACACAGCTGGTAGGTGATGGAACTGGATTCACATGCTGGGCTCTTGGATCCCAGATCCTGAGTTCTTCTAACAATGTTGAAAATTTTGGTTATGCTTTTTTATGCTTCAGTTTAGAATAATCACATTTCATGATCTTTAGACAGGAAAAGCTTCAGTTTAGAATAATCACATTTCATGATCTTTAGACAGGAAAAGAACAACTAATTTATTTGTCCCCATAATAGCTCTGTCTGTTCATATTCTTACATTGAGTCTGCCCTTTATATTTGGGTACAATTATTATTAGATTATAGATCCATCCTTAAATAGCCTGGCAAAAGCACTCTCGTTTTCAAACCCAGGTAATCTGTCTTTTTTCTTTATTTACATTTGATTGCTGATTGCAGTGCTTCCTATAATCAAAACATTCACTGCAATTTCCTCTTTCCTGAGAATTACCATTATTATTGTCTCTCTTTTCTCTGTAGAAATTAAACATGTACTTGCTAATAAGCTGGGTAGCTAACTAGCCAGATAAGGAAGTGGCTTCATTTTGTGTGTTCGGAGATGGAGATGGGAGATGGAAAGAAAGGGGAAGAGTGGGGGGGAATTTTTAGTGCTTTCAAAGCTCTGTTTTAAATATGAAGTTTTGATTTTTGGCAGTGTTTCCAATGTTGATTTCACTTTTTATTCATATTTTTGCCTTAGTGCCTGCCTTGGGCCATTCTCTTGATTACATGTTTATATCCATGATTGAACCATTACATGAGGCTAAGGTATGTGTTTTTATGTATTAAGGTTATAAGAACAGTGAATCGCCCAATAGCAGCTGGAGACATTTCAATTTTTCGATCCTTTATTTTCCTCGGAGGACAGCTGACCTTGGCACTGGGTGTTCTTCTGTGTCTGAATTACTACAGGTATAGTAAATGTGTTTTTCAAAATCACGTATAAAATCTCTCTTTTGAAATGGAGAAAGTAGGAATAATAAAATTGAAATATCTTTATCACAAAATTGTTTATTGGCTCCTTATGGAGCATCTGTAAATTAGCAAGTATAAAGAAATCACCACATGTCGTAAAATCAAGAATGCTTTCAACCAAAGGAATGAGAAGATCAGCATTTAATTTATTCTGAACCACCGTTATACTTCCGTTACGTGTTTCCTAAGAAACACATGTCACTTTGATAGCTTTTCCAGATGCATACATGGATGTGTGTGTATACCCTTATGTATAATTTTATTTATCCTGACAGTGTCTGTAAATTAGATAGAAGTGATTATACTCATTTTGCAAAAAGATTAACCAGGTCTTTCCCAGTCACGCTCATAATCGATGACAGAGGGCAAAAGTGGAAGGACTCATTCCTAGATTTCTAATAGAGACAAAATTAAACTTTTGTGCATCTGAAGGCTACTTATAAAGTATATAAATGAGGGAAAAAAGACAAAAAATAAGTGTCATTTTATAGAGACTAGACTTAATTACAAACTTTGCCCTGATAACATCACATGAAAATGCGTTTAGAAGGTTTTTCCTGGAAGGACGGTGTTAGGTGAGCTGTGAGATACTTAAGAACACCTTATACTGTCATCCTTTTATAGATGCTTTATCCTCTCCTGGAGAAGTAACACCCATGTGCATATTGGGAGGGAGATCCTGACTCTAATTCTGTTGGGACATCTCCATTTACTAGCTGTCTTAATATTGGAAAAAACACTTAGAGAGGCAGTGGCATATGGTGGGTATTAAGTTGGACTCTAGAGCTATCCTGCCTTAGGTTTGAATGCTGGCCTTGCTACTGACTGGCTGGATGACAGTCAACAAATTACTTAATCTCTTTGTGCTTTAGTTTCCTCATCTGCAAAAAGCAAGTGGAATAAAACTGTCTCCCTCTTAGGTTTGTGGTGAAGATTATAATGAGTTAACCTACGTAAAGCAGAACAGCGCCTAATACATGAAAGCAGCATATGTATTATTATTTTGTTCAATTGTTTTGTAACACTTAAAATATTTTCTAATCATCTTTTACCCTAATTAAAGTCTGGGAAAATAATTTTACATAACAAAAAATATAACTGAAGATAAGTCATTTTCCAGTTAGTATTACTACTATTGTTGTCTTTAGTGATTTCTAAGAGATGGTGATACTAATCTTCAATGGCTTTTCTTGATTTCAGTATAGCTCTGGGAGCAGCATCCCTGCTTCTTGTCATCACCTACCCGCTAATGAAAAGAATTACATACTGGCCTCAACTAGCCCTAGGTGAGCTTGAAATAACTACAAGTATTTCCTTCAGTACCCTCAGACTTGTACGTGTGTATGTGTGTGTGTGTGTGTGTGTATAATGTGGCAGAGAGAAAATGTCAAGTCAGTCATGAAATTTTCTAAACCAAGAACAGATTTTCATATTTTAAGAGAGGGCAATTAGCCATTTTTATTGGCTAAGAAATTTTGCATACTGACTAAGATTCTCATCATTATTATTTTCTGAAATGCTCTTTTAAAAAAAATCGAGGTATGTCGTGAAGAAAAGATTAACTGATTGGACCCTGCCCTTCTCTTTAGGTCACCGACCTGGATGCCCTGAGGACTTGGGGGAGTGGGGTAGAAAGCACAGTCAGGCAAGAGAACCAGGGTTAGTATGTGAAAGCTTAGATGGCCCATCTCTGTGAGGAGAAAGTGAGCCAGTCTTGCCTCCGGCTCCCACAGTGCTCTGGTGTGGTGCTTACTCGTTTCACCGGCAGTAACTAAAAGAGAAGATGCTGAGGGCTGTGTCTGTCCCCCCAGTTGTAAATTGTATATGCCTAACAGATAAAGCTCTCTTTGCTTGTGGATGGCCCAGTGTCTAGCATAGCACTTGGTATATCATGGGTATTCCATAAATATTTTTTGGCAGAGAGAGCCAAAGGTAGAGAGGTAGGGAAATCAGAATCTGTTGCAAAAATGCCTACTCCTAGAATAAGCTAGAGTATTCCTAGAACTATTCTAGTTGTTTGAGCTATTTTTTTAGTGAATAAAAGAAGAAAAGGGGTTTCTGAGAAGAGACACATGGGACCCACTGAGTATGAGGTACCTGAGGGACTTGCAGGTAGAGATGTCCAGCAGACAGTCCAGTGTCTAGTCTCAAGTGTAGGGAAGTGAACAGGTTGCACAAGATTTAGGAGCTCTTCACATGTAGATGTTTGTCTATAGTCCGCAGAGAAGATGAGCTTACAGAATAAATAAGTGTACCAGCCTATACTCTTGTTTCTGTAGCTTATGGGGTAAGTCCAGTCATAAAGGAAAGAACACAGGATTTTGACTCAGGTAGGTCTAAGTTGAAACCCCAGCTTCTACTACTCAATGACTGCTCCAGGCACTGTACTAGGTAGAGTAAATGTTCTCACAAAACCTCCTGTTTATCAGGGTGATATGATTCTTTCTGTTATGTGTGTTATTTTAATTTCCCATTCATCTCTCTGAGCCTATCTCCTTTTTTGTGCAATGTAGCTAGTCACCAGCATGGAGAGCTGAGAGAATTTCAGGAAGAGACATAGTAGAAAACAGTGCACAGAGCCTGATGCATAGAAGCACTTATTACGTGCTGATGCCCCCTCCTCTTTTGGGGAGTCTAAAGTGCATTTAGACTTGTCCTCTCTGTCTCACCATTTGTAGGGCTGACTTTTAATTGGGGAGCATTACTTGGATGGTCTGCTGTCAAGGGCTCCTGTGATCCATCTGTCTGCCTGCCTCTTTATTTTTCTGGAATCATGTGGACTCTAATATATGATACTATCTATGCCCACCAGGTAAAAAAAAAATATCTTTTTTTCTTAACTTTGGTTTAGTTATTGTTGTCATTTAAGAACTTTATTAACCACGCTTCCTTGGCACCAACAAAATATTTTTGTTTCATGTGTATATATGTTTACTAAAGAGATCAATTCTTACTTCCAAGCACTTAAACAGTCTTTATATGCCAAGCATATCAATATTTTTGTTACAGTTGTTGTTTTGTCTTTTAAAGATTATTTGAGAGAAAGAGTACGGTGGGGGGGGCAAAGGGAGAGGGAGAGAAGCAGACTCCCCTCTGAGCTTACAGTATGAAAGGAAAAACATACACTAACCCCACATTCATTATTTGGATTTGGGGCCCAGAAGATAGCCTATCAGATAGCTATCTGCCTGCTGGTAGGTGCAGAGTTCAGCTTGTAGCCTCTGATAACACATGACCATATTTACAACGGTATGTGGAAATGCTTAGAAATTAAATTGCTGGAGGAGATCAGTCAGCTAGATGTGAGTGTACCACCAAAACCTAGCTCTACTTTATACAGAAAGGGTTTGATGGGAGAGGCATGGAATAAATTGAGCTCGAAGTGAAATGTGAATGGATGTGGTTAGGTGGCAGTTGAGCATTTTTCTATATCTGTGATTTTAGCAACATTGAAACTAAAATGTATAGGAAATTGTTGAGATTTGAGAACTCTAATTAGACTTGAGTTTTACTTCGAGTGTAGTCAATGTGTTGTTACGAGTCATTAATAGGGTTATAAGAAATACGACATGTGGAAATGGAGCTGGAAGATAATCTTAGCAGTGACACTTAACTTCGATTCGGCCTGCGCGTTCGTTCATTGCCAGTCAGCCTGTGTCTCTGAGTTACTGTTGGCTTTCACAGGTTATGTCCTTTGAAAGACACTTTCTTCTGGGATTAGGTAGTGGTGATGGTTGTACAATCCAAATGGTGAATTTTATAGCATGTCAATAAAAACCGGACAGTTTCTTACTACCTTCTGGTGTTAGGACAAAAGAGATGATGCTCTGATTGGTCTTAAGTCCACGGCGCTGCGTTTCCATGACAACACCAAGCGGTGGCTCAGTGGCTTCAGTGTGGCGATGCTGGGGGCTCTGAGCCTGGTGGGCGTGAACAGCGGTCAGACCGCGCCCTACTACACTGCTCTGGCTGCTGTAGGAGCCCATCTGGCACACCAGGTTGGACCTTTTTCTTACCTTTTCCCCTCATTTTTCCTTGGTATAAATTTGTAAAAATTATTTAAGCAAAACAACCTCTGTGTTTACCAAGCAGGATATTTCTTAACTACTTGGTGTATACTACCTTGAACCCTCCCCTCTCCCAACATGTCATCTAAAAAAGCAAGCTGAACTATTTTAGAGAAATAGTCTAAAACTAAACCTAGATTTATTTTTTTTTCCCTCTGATGTTTCTGGAATTTCGTCTGATTCATGTCTGGAAAATTTCAGCAGTGTCTGAAGGTTGTGGGTTGAGTTGAATTGCTCTGAAAGTAAACTGATCAACATAACTATATTTTTACTCTGCGGGCTTCAGTGATGGATATGGTAGTTAGCAAACTAATCATTCATAGGTTTGGGTTCCCCTGTAATTAGCAACCAAGGCCAGATAAGACATGAAGTGCTAACTTGTCAGAGTTCTGCCTAGATAGAGGGAAACTGTCATTTCAGGATACCCAGCCAGCACCCACAAGCTTATATTGTGAATCTACATTAGTGACTTTTGTAAATAAATGAACTAAATCTAATCTTAATGAAATAGCTAGCTTGTACATGGACTCTAGTTTTGTATCAGTGTTATTTTTATTTTCTTCAAACAGATCCAAAAAGATGTTAGCCTGTATGTAAATGATCTGTTGTATACAGATTATTGCAAATTACTTATCAATGTAAGCAAGACTTGCATAGCAGTATGAAGGAAACTGAAATTCAATGTCCATAAAGTAAACCCCATGCCGTATCACCTTCAATGTTTTCTTCACAAGGAAAGCTAAAAGACAGGAATTGGTGATTCTCCAAGATTCTCTAGATTTCACCATTTTCCTCCTCAGAATTTCATAGCATCCTCTCTTACTCATAACTCAGCTCTGTGGGGGTTGTCACCATCAATTGATTGTCTGATCAGGATAATGGATGTGTATCCATATTTAATAAAGCACTTGGATATTAGTGGAGGAAGGCAGAAATTACGAGGAAAATTATAAATACCGTAGAAATATTTGGAGCTCACCTTATAATTCTAAATGGCATTTGTGGTCTTCTCTCTAGTCCTTGTCACAATATTTTAAGATGGAATAGCCTTCTAAGCTTTGGGAAAAAAGGAAATCATGATGTTGGGTTTTTTTTTAAGATTTTATTTTTATTTATTTGAGAGAGAGAGCAAGAGAGGGAAGTGGAGAGCAGGGGGAGTGGGAGAGGGAGAAGCAGGCTTCCTGCGGAGCAGAGAGCCCGATGCGGGGCTCGATCCCAGGGCCCTGGGATCATGACCTGAGCCAAAGGCAGCCGCTTAACTGACTGAGCCACCCAGGCACCCCGGAAATCATGATGATTTTAAGTCCTCAGGCCATATAATAAAGAATAGTTAGGGAAATGAGGGATGCTAATGCTTAATAAGCCTAGGAATGACTAAGACAGGGACATGGGACTTTTCTTGATATGTTTGCAGGACTCCTACAGAGAAAAAGGAATATGTTTGTTCTAGGTCACTAACAGTAGATCTAGGTTGCCAGATCCCCTTCTCTGTGTGGGAATGGGAAGAATTACACAAGCATGGGGGTGTATTTGGTTATCATAAATAAACTGGGGAGGGGTCACCGCAGCCATTTAGTGAGTGGGGCCAGGTATGGTAAATATCTTTCATCACACTAGACAGCCCTGCACAGTAGGGAGTTGTCCTTCCCAAAGGTGACTTGTCCCCCTGTTGAGAAACACTGCTCCAAGGAATAAAGCTAGAATTAGAGGGTAGGAGTTGTAGGAGGCAGATTTTAGAACAGTCACTGTAACTGGTTTAGAGCTTTCTAAATAGAAGTAAAAGTAGCATGGGTTGCCTCTCAGAGCATTCATGCACCCCTCGAGTGGAAGGTTTTAGGACATGGCTTGGATGATACCCAATGAGAGAGATGGTAGATTTTTCTACCCTGGGAAACAGTTTGGGGTACATTAAGGGCTTCCCATGGCTTAAAATCCTGTAACAAAGTGCTGTTGTCTTCTCTGTACTAATGTGTTTGTTTATGATGCCAAAAAGTTTATACTAAGTGCTAATGCAGCATTGTGATCGTCTCTTACAGATCTACACTCTAGACATCCACAGACCTGAGGATTGTTGGGATAAATTTACCTCCAACCGAACACTAGGACTAATAGTTTTGTTAGGGATTGTCCTTGGGAATTTGTGGAAGGAAAAAACAGATGAAGCAAAGAAAAGTAAAGATAGTAGAATAGAAAATTAGCAAATGACATTGATCTAGGAATCTTTAAAACAAAGTTTGGCAAAACACTCTCAGGTCTTGTTACCACATAATTAGATTTGAAGAAGCAGTCTTGCAATGTGTTAATGAATTAAGAACCAGAAGATGAAGATGTAGACCATATTTGCCTGGATTTAGTTCAAGTATTTACTAGCAAAATCCTTCCCCTGTCTCAGAAACCAGGAACGCTTTAGGATTTGAGCGACCTTGAGTCTTCTGCTCAGGATGATTCCCATCTGCAGTTACGGGAATGGTATGAGTTTGGGCACTTTAAAAGACACCTGATTTGTATCTCATCTAAATGAATGAATGTAGGAAAACGGACTTTATTTTTAGGGAAAAATAAAAGCTGCTGTAGAAAGTTGGGGTTTATTGTTCTTTGTTGTGACCTTTACTCACTACCAAAAGCTGTACTTGAGGAAACCAGTCTGTTTTTTGTATCTTTGGAGAATTTAAATAAGTAAATAAAAATTTTTATCTATTGTATCCATACGTACTTCTGTTGTTACCAGTCCTGGACATTTACTTCGCACCTCCAGTCTCTGTGTACCGGCATGGTAACCAGAGGTTGTGGGTTGAGTTGAATTGCTCTGAAAGCAAACCGATCAGCAGAGTCCCAGGGACTATTTTAATTTCTGTTGATATCTTTTTTTTTATCTTCTCAGATTATGATATATAGGATAATGGCATGTTGGTTCAAGTGTGCTAACAATTTCTTCCCTTGCCCCCTTCAGAATGTTCTCAACACAGCAGCCAGAGTGATTTCCTTAAAATCTACGTGACATTCCATCATTCCTGTACTCGGAACCCTCCAGGATCTCCCAGGTTCCTCAGTACAGACTAAAAGTCCTATCAACCTGCCAGGCCCTTTGTGATGTGGCTTCATCTGCAGCTACTTTCCCACACCCCTCTCTAGCCCCGCTGGCTTTCTCACTGCTGCTCAGCAGGCTGGCAGACTTCTGCCCCAGGGCCTTTGCATGTACACTTCCCCTTGTCTGGAATGCTGTCCTTGAATTATGTCAGTCCTCCACAGCAGGTCTTTTCCTAAATGTTACCTTCTCAGAGGCTTTTTCTGGCCACTGTTTATAAAATTACCTACACTTCCTTTGTTGTTTTTTTTCTCTTCAGAAATTAGCAGTATTAACCTAAAATACATTTCACTTGATTTAAGTGTCTCTTGTGGATAGTGGGGTGTGGGGGAGGCAGCAACCTTGTATATGTGGATTGTGGGTGGCAGTAAACACTAAATTGCATAATGGTGATAATGGTGGTGATTATGCAGCTGACAGAGCACTTACGTGTGCCAGGCCCAGATAAATAAGCACAGGAAAATGTAGTGAACTGTTTATTCAGCAGGTACTGAATCATGGAGAGTGAGTATTTAGATTTACAACAGTAGTAGCAGCCATAATTCTACCCTACTAAAGCAGCAGTGAGTTGAAGGGGAGAATAGAAATGTATCCTACTTTAAAGGAAATATGATTGGCTTCTATTTTATCTAATTCTGACATTGTATCAGGATAGATAAACTTTAAATCTGTTGATTTCTGGGTTGGTTTTTGTTTTTTGTTTTTTACAAATACATGTTTTTTCCTTTGGAAAAAATTAGGAAAATATACAATTTAAGTATTGAGAATAAAAATACAGAGTTTAAACATATGGAGGGATGTTTTCAATAATGAAAGAAATGAGAAATGGAAAAAATTGAGCTTAGAAAAGGGTTATGCCTCTTGAAAAGACACCATTTCTCATAGCAAAAAATGTTGATTTCTAAATGCCTTTTCCCAGGCGTGGGCTCTAGAAGGATGTTGGCCAGGTTAAATGGTGGAGGGAACATGGCCAATGGGGATCTGTGCTTTAGCACAGCAAGGCCTGGTGTGGCATCCCCTACATTGTACCCTAGAGGACACCTTAGAGCAGAATCCCTTTTTCATTTAGGAAAACGTTCCAGTGTCTAAAAGGGCAATAACTATTGAGGATTAGCTGCATGATATGCCAAAATCTATACATAAGCTATTCTAGACTACCTACATAATTTGCAGATCACCCTGTATTTTAAAATGCTTAAAATCTTAACCCATTTAGCACAACTCCAATTGGAGGAGGGTAAGTACAATGTATTTCAGTTTCATTTTCCTAAGTTGGTTGATGAAAGTTAATATGGAACAAATCCTAGAATCAGCAAAGCTGCAGCCATTTATGATAAATGGGACTAGGAGAGAATATAGATTAAAATTCAGAGATTGTCTTGCCTTCAAAAAGCTGCTCAAACTTAACTGAATTATTTTAGTTCCTTTTCATTTCATTTCTTCTTTCTTCTGCCAGGTAGAAAAGCTGAAGAAGTAGTATAAATACGTAAGGGGCAGATTGAGGGGTTGGAGAGAGATGAAGTCGATTATTAGCCTCTAAAGTCATGGACTTAAAACAATTCAGGGTTGGAAAGAGGTTTAGCTGTCACCCATCCAGTCATCTAGTGCTGGGGGGTCAGTCTCCCGCATAACCAGGAGGAGTACCATAGCTTCAAATAGTGAGATTACATCTTGTTTTGGGAGATGGCCCTAAGTTTCTGCTGCAGAATCACTGTGAGGTTGTCAAGAGCATGTGAAAGAACTTTGTAAACTGAACAGTTACCTAGTAGAAGTTTATGCTGAGGGTGGGCATGGGGTGGAAGCTACAGGAAATCTGGCCTCAGGGTCAGAAAGTAACCCATCGCAAGTACGGCCTCTCCTCTTCCTGGACTTTGCTAGATCGCTTTATGGCTCTTGCAGATTGTAAAGCCTTCCACGGGTCACACCCTGCGATTTCCCCCAAATCAACATACACTCTCCCCCTTAGGCGAGTCTCTTCCCTAGCCGCAGACCACACTCATCTGCCCAGCTCTGCCATTACAACTGTCCAGGAGGCTGGTACATGGCGACGCCTTGGTCTTTGGAGCAGGCAGCCTCGTGTGTGAATCCTCCCTGTCGTACTTGCCAGCTGGAGACCTCTGCCCTCGGCCACCGCATTTTCGTCTGTCCAAACTGGGCTTTTGGGAGCATGAGACAGAGTTGGCATGCAAACGTTTAAGCCTGTTATGGACTGAATTATATTGCCCCCAAATTCGTATATTGAAATTCTACCCCCCAGTAACTCAGACTGCATTCATGTTTGGTGATAAGGTCTATAAAGAGGTTATTAAGTTAACATGAGGCCATTAGAGTAGGCCCTAATCCACTGTGACTGGTGTCCTTATAAGAGGAAGTCTGGACACGTGGACACTTGCCCCCAGGGATCACTGTGTGATGAAGGCACAAGGAGAAGACGGCCACTTACAAGCCAAGGAGACTGGCCTCAGAAGAAACCAACCTTGCCCACACCTCCATCTCAGACTTCTGGCTTCCAGAACTGAGAAAAATAAGTTTCTCTTTTTTAACCCATTCGATCTGTGGTATGTTGTGATGGCAGCCCTAGCGAACTTAATACAAAGCCCTGGTACCTAACCTAGTCCAGAAAAAGACACTCTTCAAATACAGTTCACTAGAAAGCTCTTCCTTTTCCGCCCAACCCTACCTTTTTATCCTAAAGCACAAGTTTTAGCGCTTCTGGTAATTACAACAATGGTGGACCGAATAAAATCCTCCAAAGATGTCCATTTCCTAATCTCCAGAAACAGTTTATGTGTTACCTTATATACTAAATATATAGTATATATACAAAAGTGGCTTTGCAGATGTGATTGAGAACAATCTTGAGACGGAGATTATCGTAGTTCTCTGGGTGGGCACGCCATAATCACAAGGCTCTTTGTAAGAGGGAGGCAAGAAGGCCAAAGTCAGTAGCAAGAGGTGGAACAATGGAAGGACAAGGTTAAAGCGATGCAAGGGGTGGGGGAGCGGCGTGGGCCAAGGAAGGCAGATGGCTTTTAGGAGCCAAGAGAGACAGGGACACAGGTTCTCCCCTCAGAGCCTCCAGAGGGAACCAACCAGCTGACACCTTGACTTCCACCCGGTGGGACTGAGTTTGGACTTCTGACCTCCAGAACTGTAAGATTATAAATTTGTGTTGTTGTAAGCCACTACATCTGTGGTAATTTGTGACAGCGGCAACAAGTAAACTAATACAACAACTGTTCGAGCTCTGACGGACCTGTCCTCTGAACGGCCAGAGCACGTGGTCGGTGCCAGTGGAGTAATCGCTAAGAACGCAAGTCCAGGAAAACAGCCTGTGTGGATTGGGGTCTCTGCTCTAACACCTGCTGGCTGGGTGAACGTGAGCCAGTTACGCGATCTCTCTGTGGTTCGGTTCCTCAAATGGGACTAATGATGGTACCCTTCTCATGGAAATGGTCAGTCTCCATCTACTAGAATGCAGAGTCCATGGTAACTGGGACTTTGTCTTAGTCACGAAAATAGCCCCAATACACCATACTGTAGGCACTTGACAAATATTTGTAATTTATCGTACATCCGTGTGCTTTTTTTTTTCATTTTTATTGTGAAAGTGTCATTGACATGCACATTAGTTTCAAGTGTATAACATAGTTGATTCAACAACTCTATACATTATGCAATGCTGGTGTGCTAACATTTGAATACCTGCCACAACTACTGTTAGGTGCAACCATTAGAGATTATTAATGCCATACAACAACATATAAAAAACTTCACCATGTGAGGCACCATAATAAAAATACACATTTTCATGTACACATGATTAAAACCGTAAAAATATATATAACAGAGATTAAAGAAACAAAAATAGAAAGCTATGTCATGGGTAGTAAGTTATTATAATTTTGCTTTATAATAAAATTGGGGGACACTGGTCCTAAATTTCACGTTTTAAGCTAATTTATGAATGTAACATTCAGTTCTTCCAGTATTATTTTTACTTTTTATATTTACATTTAAGATTTTATTTATTTATTTGACAGAGGGAGACACAGCGAGAGAGGGAACACAAGCAGTGGGAGTCAGGGAGGGAGAAGCAGGCCCCCCGCGGAGCAGGGAGCCCGCCCGATGTGGGGCTCGATCCCAGGACCCTGGGATTATGACCTGAGCCAAAGGCAGACACTTAACGACTGAGCCACACAGGCGCCCCTATATTTACATTTAAAAAATAGACTTCAACACAACCTATATGTAGTCCCTATAAAAACAAAGGAAAGAAGATTATTATCATTATGTTAATAACTTCTTTCCAAAATAAAGGATAGGATTACATACTATCGGAAGGTCTGTGACTTGCAGTCCCAGACTTTCATGCCTTCAAGTGATCATCGTTACCCACATCTGAAAAAGAATTACAGTTCTAACAAAGAAAATAAACCCCAACAGAGTACTCAAGTTGAAACATCCTTTTGGCTACCCATAAGTCACACTGTAAACAGTCACTTCCACCATCACCCTATGGAACCAACATAGTTTCTTAATCAGTCATGTCCAAAGGGTTCTTAGAATGTTGGGCAATGAGTTGCCACACCTTCCTTGTTATCTGAAACAAACGGCCAGGAA